GGATTGTATATTTACGTAGTTCTCGCACTATTAATAAATATAGTGATGAGTGATTTACCAGAAAAATCAATAGTGTAAGACATATGGTAGGTTTAACTTGAAAGATACTACACTATCATATATTTTGTTTCAATTAATATGTCCTCTAAATTAAGAGGTGAAGAAGGAAGTTCAACTAGTGCTACATAAAAAGGTTCTCGTAAAATTGCCTGAAGAGCTGATTATATGATGGTAATCCAGTTAGGAAAAATGCTAAACTTAAAATTGTTTATCATGAGACTGGTAGACCTAATTTCAGTTAAGATAAGCAGGTTCGTGATCATAAAAAATTAATATGTTTTTCTAAGGATTCTATTGACACTATGAGAAGCATAAAAAAACCTTAAAAAGATATTTAATCAATCATCCAAGAGGCAGAATCTGACCATATTTACTATTAATATCGCAGGTAAACATAAATTACTTTCTATTTTTTTATATATTTATAAATCATTTATATTCTGTCCTATTTATTTCTAGTAATGTTATAGAGCTTTATACTATGTGAAAAGAATCAGAAATTTACAAATACTATCTAAGGGAAGGGCCAGAAGTGATGTCATTTAATTTTAGGATTTTTTAACATTCCCCCTCCCTTGTCATCTAATCAATTAAGACAATTGTGTAACTTAATCATGTGCCTTGTTAATTTGCATGTGGCAAAAGTATTGATCTTGTGATATGCTTATACAAAACTTGTAATCAATTTTATTTTCTAATTCAGCAGTGATAATATTAACAAAGCCAAATTTATTAAATTTTATATAATATTCTTTAATAAAAGCTAATATAAAATGAATTTGTTAATTATGTTTATCAATCGGATAAAAATTTGCATTTTTATTTGTAAAATACAAAATCATGATGCGGGTTTAACAAAATTATACATTATACATTATATTTGAAATGTAAGATGATTTTGCTCCTAAGGCTGCAAATTTTTTATTCCACCCTTTTTGCGTCTACCACTACTTTTGATTTGCCTTTCATTTCTATTATCTGTTTCCATAGATTGCTCTTATATAACTTATGCTATCCTTCCTCTTCCACTTGGATGCATAGTTTTGACATGCTTTTTTATAAAAGCTTTTGTTGGAAAATAATTGCCACATTTTTGACATACAAACTCATGATACATTTCAGGTGGAATGCTTGGACAATGTTTATCGAAACCAGGAAATTAATCATTAAAATATTCTAATATATGCAATAAACTAAGAAAATGCTCATTCCAACCTTGAACAACAGGAGGAAGAAAGCCATTATTTAGGTATAAAAATTCATAGAAATCAGGAGATCATGGTGGTTTACAGCAACTTCTATCCTCACACTTGTGAAAATCAACAGATTATTTACAAATTTGTGAATGACGATCAATCCAATTATATGTTTCCTCTTTAATATCTAAAAATGCAGTTTGATCATGTTTTTCAACATAAGTAGCAATTACTGATCATCTATTGATAGGATCATGATTTCAAAGTTTGCAAAGATGATCACCAGCATGTTTAAAATTTCTACGCCCAAGATCTTCATCAATAACAGTAACCTATTTATCCATATTACCAAGATGATTGCCATAATTAAAAGTATTTAACACAATATCAGCTAACTTACTAGAGAGTGATATCATACTTCTTTCTACTGGATTATAGGCTGATTGTCCTGAAGCATATGTTCGAACAGTTAAATAGTCTAAGTCGAGCTTTTTAAAAAGTAGCAAATATTTGGAAATATTAGTAAGAACTGAGGGTTTTCATCCAGTTTACCATCTGTTAACAAGTACCAAAATGGTTTCACTGCGCCTTCATTATGTGTAAATTCATGAAAAATCTCTTCTTTCGTAATTGTAATAAGATCCTCCATATGAGTTTCACACAAAGTATCCAAAAATAATTCAGGACAAATAAAAATTCGCATTTGTCTAGAACGTAAAGAATCATTTGAGTCATTAGGATTAATTATTAGGTAGATAGATGGTATTAGCTTATGTTTTAAACCTATCAGAAAGTCATGATCAGGAACAGACACCAGCTCATTTACTGTTTGTATAGCCTTAAATGTTCTTCCAACAGTAGTAATTCCAAAAGGAACCTTATAACAGCTTAAAGTTAAAACTCAAATCTAAATAATTTAAAAGGAAAACAAATTTACATACCTTTGCTTTATCATCTTGTGAAATTATTAAAATATCTTGAGAAAAAGCTGACGCAAATGATTTTACCCTTTTATTGATGCTAAACAATAATGTTCATTGATATGACTATTTATGTCATTTCTTTTAACAGCCGCCAAACGAAATTGTGCTGGATGATGATAACGTTGTGCTTCTTTTGATCCAGGATATCGAAGTTGCATATAATTTTGTAATATGAACCTTGATATATATATGTTATAATTTCCTCCATCTTTTCACGTAAATGCTTTATCATTCGTACTTTGATAACTTCTTTACGTAATTTGTAATCTGCAGCTCTGAATTCAATAATATCATGCATTTTTTCTAAGAATTTAGGATCATTTATTAAAAATGATGGGCGTCCTGACTTATTATACAATTCTACAATATTTTCCTTTTCCAAATTTTCTTGCTTCTTTTTCTGAGCTCGTTTCTAAGCTTCTGCATTACTTTGTAATTGCTTAAGATTTTTTTCCTTTACTTTTATAATATCCTCAAATTCTTTAATCTTTGAAGTAAATTGTATACGAAGTTCTGATAATGTAAATGCTTGTAATAGTTTGTTATATTCATATAGATTAGTTTTTACTTTTTAAAGGATAGCAACTATCTGCTTTTGTGTTGTTGCATTTGACAGAAGTTGAGTATAGTCAGGAGGTTAGGGAAGAATATCTATAGGTGATGTAAGTGGTGTAGGTGGTGTAAGTGGTGTTGTTATCAACTAAGATAGGGCTGCTAGTCCCTGGTCAAAATCATTTTGATCATTAAAGGCTAAAGTCAGAAAATAGTTAAAATGACATCATATCACATAATTTTTCATATTGAGAAAAAACAAAAAACAAAAAATGTATGATTTCGGTCAATATCACTCCGATTCTTATGAAACAACTACCATTTGATTTTTCGCAACTAGACAGATCCAATAAGCTAACTTGCATTGATTTCATATTATCCAATTATAAGATAATCACAATTGTATTATCAGCTGAAAAGCTGAAATTATAAATAAATAAATTCTACTTTAAATAAAAAGATCTGGATTTTAAAATATCAACATAAATATCTCGTGATAGGTTGATCTGAAATTAATGAATGTTAGCACATTAAATTCATCTAGTTGCAAAAAATCGAATGGTAGTAGTTTTATATGAATGAAATCAGTATTGACCGAGATCATACATTTTTATTTTTTTAAAATTTTTTTCTGTATGAAAAATCATATAATATGATATCATTTCGATCATTTTGACTTTTAATTTCAACTTTGACCTCTAAAATCAAAATATTTAGACTTTTGGATTTTCATTTCAATTTCATATATAGTACAATATCTGCAGATTCAGAAATGTTTTTTACTAATAAAATGTTTATAAAGTCAAAATAGCAGTTATTATTAAATTTTCTTAATAAATTAAGACTGTGATGTTATTTTTTAAGTTTAATAGTAAAAATTCACCTGTTATTAAACTTACTTTATAAAAGCTATCTTTGAAATTTTTTAGTGCAATTATTAATAATTTTTTTAATTAAAATTTTAGAATAACTTTATTATTATAAAAATTAAAAAAATTTTTTATATTTAATTTAATTTAATTTAATTCAATTTTGAGAAACCCTAACATTTATAATATATAATATAAATTATAAAATTTATTTAAATAATATTATTTATAATAAAATTTTTATTACTAGCAGTTTAAATTAAATCAAAGTTTGATAAGTTATAAATAAGATTGTGCTTATAATTTGGTTTAATTTATTTATAAAATTTTAAAGTATTCAATAAAGAAGATTTTTTATATAAAATATTATTAGTAAAAATATATTTTAATTTATAGATTTATGAAATAATTTATTTAGTAATATTTCATTATAATTATAATTAATAATATATTGTTTAATTTTTTGATATTTTAAATAATTTATAAATATATATTGGTATTAATATTATTGTTCAAACATATTTTAATGTGTAACTTAAAAATTTAAAAACTTTTCAAAATCTTTAAAATGGCTTATTTAAATCTAAAACTTAATTAAACTTTAATTAAGTTTATTAGAAGTTTAGGTAAAGATTTTTATTTATAATTTTTCAAAAAATAAAAATTATTTATTCATAATATAAAAAATAAAAATCTCATTATTAATATTATTAATATAATTTAAAATTTACACAAAAAATTTATATTAGATTGAATATTAGATATAATATTAAATAAAATTTATATATATTTTTTTTACAATAATTACAAAAGACATAATATTATAAGATTAATGAATAAGTAAATGTTACTGATTATTAAAAAAAAAATAGTAGAATATTGTAAGGTTAATAAATAAGTAATCTTTAAAATATTTTACTTATTAATCAAATAATTATAATTAATTATTTATATTAATAATTTAATTGAATTTAAAATTAAACTATTTGTCCTAAATAGCAAAAAATTAATTTGAAGTAAATACAATTTTGTAAATTATTTAATAATAGATTAATTTTGATGGATAATATATAATATATTCAATCCTTAATCTATTAGATGCATGCATGATTTAAAAATTTGATGAGTTTTGCTAACTTAGTTAATTAGACAAAAATTTTATGTGATCATAATTTGAGCGTCGGTTCCATAATTGATAAAAGTAGTTTCAAACTCGGGAGATTCAGAATCTGCTAATTTTACAATGGGTTCCAGAATCAAGTCGACTCATTTTGAGCCGATACCATCCTCAATAATAGTTTGTCAAACTGAGACCAATATGTATTGACTACCAACTTAATATGATAGTGGAAGAAATATCTCCAAATGATAAGGAAATTCGCGAGGTATCTGTGAGTGTTCGATGGAAGTTTCGTACGATCTCCATGTTCAATTGCGTTATGAAGTAAGTCCAATCTCTTCTCTTGTTTTGTTTGAGATGAAAGCCCAACAGTTTAGTGAAATCACAAAGATTCTCTTGAAGGGAAATCAGGATAAGGGTTTTGATATGTTAAAGTTTATGTGCTGAAGAAATATCGAAAATAAAAGGTTTTATTATGAGATCAAAAGCAATTTAAATCTTTTCGCTCGCTCAACAGTTCAAACAATGGTTGTGATGCAGAAAAGGATTTTAGCGATTGTTCCTGACTGTTTATTTCGCGTTAGTCAAAGACTTCAATCACGGTATATCACAATCATTAACAAGCGCGGAAATATTTTATTTGTTCTATTTTTATTCACTGTCGATATATAATCGTTCGCAATCTTGCTTTTCAGGTTCTGGAGAAAAGCGCAAGCTTGATCAAACTGATTTTAATGAATAAAGTGTCCTTGTCTCGATGAACACGCGAATAGATGCTGTTAATTCATTGGGTTGTCAACTCAAAAAAAAAACTAAAGATCGATATGACCCGCGTAGCTGCCTTGCCCATTCTAATTTAATAAAATGTTTATCGCTGTGCTGAGTGGAACTTGAGAGCTTGATTGAAAAATGAAAAAAAGGAAAATCTTCGATCATCATCAATACGAATTTTAGAATAATATAATATTGCGGTAACACCCGATTCACGTAACTTAGAACACTCGTAAAGATATATACATTTCACATAGTTTACATTAATTACAAAAGGAAACATTTATCTTTTTATTTAATTAAAATGTATGCTGATGGATATGCGGCCAAGCAATAAAATGAATAATTGCGAACAAAACTTTAAAATATCCGATTAGCAATTAATGTGATTTTTTTGGGAAATCAAATGACGACATCGAAAGGTCTCGAAACAAGGAATGTATAACAATGTGCAAGAAATGAATGTAAGTTCACTTCCATAGCCGTTCATCGCCACCACTACTCAGGTATCCCTACGAACCCCGGGTGACTTTCCTAACATAACCTAAATTCATAGGAATGAAACCACATCTTCTCAAGTGTTAATTACTAAGCTACATTACGGCGTGAAACCTTCTCTCGAAGGTCGGCTCTTCTCCATTACATGCACATGCAAAGACTTGCAAGTCGGACCAAAAAGTTCCGTCTCATCAAACCCTTACAATATAAATAATAAAAATGTGAAAAAATGCAAAAGAAGCGAACTATATAAAATACAATACCAATAAGATACAAATATAAAGTAACTATTACAAATATCGAATATAAATACAGATAAAATATAAAATACAAAGATGACCCTTAATATTGTAAAAAAAATAAAAAGATTTCATCAAAAAAGCCCAAAATTTAAATCCACCTACTTGGCGAAGCAAGTAACGAATTAACGCAATCTCTGCAAGTTTTTCGTCACTTTTTTATTCCCCCCCCCCCCCCCCAAAAAATGTTGAAAATACAACAGGCGAAAGAAAAAAAAAAGTCACTCCTGCTACTTTATATGTGGGAATTTATTTGCAGATCTTGTACCTCATATTGTGTAAAGTTTTGCCGATTCATTGATCACATGATCGATCATATGATTTGAAGCAATTAGAAATATGTCCGAGGATAATTGATCGATCAACGATCAATCAATTAAAATTCATTTTTTATATTATAATGTTGATTAAAATTGTTCTTTTTATGAATAATAACTCATTAACTGTTTCAGGTTTCAATCGGTTTCGATCATTGGTAATTTGATTTCCAGCATCACTAAAAAGTCGCACACTTAGAACAGAAGTAGCTGGTATACTCAAGTACTTTCTAGCCAATTTAAATAGTATTGGAAACTTTAATTCATGATTAATCCACCATTGGAAAGGATCAGTTTCGGTAATGCTTGTGGAGTTCTAGTATTATCCAAGTAACAATTAAATTCATCATCTATAAAAAAAAAATGATTTTTAATAAATCAAAATAATAATGTAAAAATTATATTTCACTTACCATCATTTATTTCATCTATTTCTTCAAATCCAAATAATCATGACTTAAATCCACCAGTCTGAAAAGTAGATCTTATATCTCTTGTAACTAGTAATTCCTTTATCTTTTATTCTTCTTTAAGCAATAATATTGCATTTTGTTGTACTTCTTCAGACTATCCACGCATCTTCTTAAATCTTGAATCCAAAAGGCTTGCAAGTAAAGCAGCTTTAGGTGGTGTACTAAAAGAATCAAATAAAGCATCCTTATTAACAGAGTTAATAATAATATTAATGTGATATGCATTATTTTAAAAATCATATTCATGCTCTATCACTTCTTCATCATCAGATTTATTATTAGAATTCTCTTTCATGGTATCATCATCATAATTACTATCATCATCTAAAAATAATTAAATAAATTAATCTAAATCCCTATTGATTGTAATCATAATGTTAATTAAATTTGTAAATTATATATATTAATTATTTACCACTTTTCTCATTTTCAATATTTTTTTTATCATCTAATAATATATCTGACACATAATCATATTTTAATGTATAAATATACATTAAAGAAAGAGAATAATATTTTTATTCATCTAACCATTCTGTTGCTTCTTTAATTGATCAAAGATTTCAATTAATTTATTTAAAAGATCCCATTCATAATCTTTAAGATATCGATTCTTTAGTTTTTTATAATATTTCTTAGTTTCATAATTATCTTTAAAGCTTAAAAATTTAAAATAACCTGTTTAATAGGATTCTTTAATTTTTGTAATCTTTTTCAAGAGGCTAGAGATAATCTTTACCAAGTTTTAACAGTTCATCAATTTCTTAATAGGCCTACTTCTTCTTGTTCATTAATTTATATTGAATTAGGTAAGTTTTGTAATATTTCTCTTTATTTTTTATGACTAACTGCTAATTCGTTTTTTCTAATCATTTATTTTGTTTTGAATAATTAAAAATAAAATTAATTTGTCAATATGTATTTAATTTTTTTTAATTCTTTTATTATACTAAGTTATAAAATATATACACTACATGAAATATGATTTACACACTCCTATTTATAAATAGCTTTTACCATATTATCACAATTATCAATAATTACTGTCTTTACTTTACTTTACAATTCAATTAATTCAAGTTTAGTTGTAATAGTTTGACAAATATTTTTACTAGTATGTGGATAATTTATTTGTTCAATACAAATTAATATATCATATAATTCCATTTTTTTGTAAGCTAATTACATGTAATTCTAATATATTCTAATTTTGCATAAGAGATCTAAATATCAGTGATTATAAAAGCTATTTTACAAGTTTAAATAATTATTTTCTTTATAACTTGAAATACAACTTGGTAACTAAAACTAATATTCCTTTTAATTATTACATAATAAGTTGAAATGCGGAATTAAACTTATTGATTATATATAAAAACCTTTTCTATTTGAATTAAATGAGTGAAAATCTATTATAAATCAATCAGTCACAACTAGAGTTCCGAATGAGTCAGGTTAAGCGAGTTTTTGTCAAACTCAACTAATTTTGAAAAAAATCAAATTGAGTCAAGTCAATTCAAAATATTTTAAAACTTTAACTCAATTCAACTCGAGTTATATTAAATTGACTTGACTTAACTTGAGTCAAGTTATAAAATAGTAAAATCATATTAAAGTCTCAGAGGCTATTATGTAATGATATACTGATCAGAATTTCATGAAATCTGAACTAACATGTTTATCAAGATGCGCTCATCAAAATAATATGTGTTATATTTCTAACAGAATACTGAACGCTAAGATATTCAAGAAAATGTGTTGAAAACATTAATTTTTAACTTCAAAGGCCACTATCTCAAGATCTACTGATCTGAATTTCATGAAATCTGCACCATCGTGTTCGTCATATCAAAATGATATGTATTATATTCTAACAGATCACTGAATACTGAAAAAATGTGTTAAAAATGTTTATTTTAAGCTTCATAACAGATATATTTTCAAATTCACAGGATTTTATTTTGCTATCAAAATGAGTTACACAAAATTTCAAATATGGATATATGGTTATACATTCCTAAAAGGAAATTTTTGACTGTCGAAAAATTGGAAAATCATCAAAATGTTACACAAAATTCCAAAAAGATAATAAGTGTAATATTAGATCACGAGATAATGGACTCAAGTTGAAATGAGTTGAGTTAATTTATTAACTCGACTCAACAATAACTCGACTTGATTCAAATGAGTTGAAAAAATTTTGACTTAACACAACTCAACTCGAGTCAACTTACTTGACTTGTAAGTCAATTTGACTCATTTGGAACTCTACTCACAGCATTTTATAATTTATATTATTTAAATTCTTTATATGTTATAACTTCTTTAATTGTTCATTTATTTTTAATTGTTACTATAAAAGATTTAAAATAAATTGAAAGTGTAAAAATATTAAATTAATTCAACATATAAATAATAAAAGATATGTATCTTACTTTTTTTTCAAATATTTTATGAATAAAATTTAAATGATATTGCTAAGTACTGGTTTGAGAATTATACATACAATTGTAATTACATTCTTCTTTAAAACCATTTTTTAACACTTTATATCAATAATAAGTGTATCCAAAAGTTTTAAAAAAGTATTTTAAATTAAAAAAAACAACTAAAAGTTTCAAGTTAATAAAGTTCTTGTATATAAGGAAAATGATGATATAAAAAATATTACATTATTCAAATATACAAATCATTTTACAATTAAAAAAAATTATTTAATATTTAAGCATTTTTATAAAAAAGACAAAAACTTTATTTGCATTATATTGCTATATTGATCAATTATAATATATTTATTTGATCAAAATAAAAATTTTGATTGATATAATAATCAATTAAATATAAGAATTTTAATTAATGCTAAAATCTCATGATTAATTAATTGAATAATTTGATCAATAATCGATTAACCTTAATTTGATGAAATTTACTATTCATAATATTTTAACCTCACGTTGTAATTGATAAAAATTTTTTCTAAAGAATTTTTAATGATTTTGATTCAATTTTATTTTCTTGAAAATTATCTTGCAGATCCTGATATCAATATAGTAAAGTAAAAAATAACTGACTTGATGATTATGGTCTAG